CGAACGAGCCAGTGAAGCCTGGAGGGCGATGCAGGTAGACCTACTCGTGCAGACTGCCCTGAAGAAACGCTGTGGAGAAGTCAAAAAGGTATGAAAGAAGTCAACACCCTCGCGCTGACTGAAGCCTCTAGCCACGTAGCGCACCTTGAACACATGCGGCTCTCCAGGGGGGCGCTTCACCTTGAAGAGCCAGCGGCCTTCGACTACATTCACCCAGGTGGGGGAACTGCGTCAACAAAGGTGTTGGTGGATCTCCAAGATGCCATCTATTGCTCCATGACAACTATCCACTAAGATGCCCAAGGTCTCGAGGTCGCCTCAGCATAGGTGCGAGGGGTCGGCATGTCAAAGGCGTCTGGGTCACCCTCAGGGACTTGCAGCATGGAGCAGAGATGAGGTGTAGCCTCGGACAGGAAAGCTAGCTCGTACTGCCTTTCCTATGGGACGTCACTGCCAAGGGCAGGAGCACCCCCAACGGACGGAGTACAGGCAGGGTGAGAGACTAGAGCGGTGGCGTAGACAAGGCGGCGGGTAGAGGCAAAGTCAGTGACGGCAGCAACAAGCGCGTCCAGACTGGAGACCGGAACAGACGGGTCGGTAACGAGGAAGGCAAGGACCTGAGGAACAAGAGCACTAGCACCACAAAGGAAGTCAGAGAAAGGAGGCGGCACGACAACAAGCGATGACGGAGGAGGCGACGAGAGGAGGGGAGGATGAGACGTGTGAGAACGAAGCAACATAGGGTGAGAGCGGGGAGCACGAGAGACAGAACGAGCATGAGAGGGACGGCGAGACCAGGCGTGAGACAAATGCGTCGGGTCAGGAGACACAGGAGGAGACACAGGAGGGGAACGAGGGGAAAACGAGCCGGAGACGAGTCCGGCGGAGGAAACACAGGGCCCTAGACATGCAGGGGAGGCGACAGCGAAGGAGGCATAGGCGGGGGGTCGAGGGAAGGAAGACCGAGGAGGCGAAGGGCCGACACCGGCGGCGACTGGTGCTGCTGCGGCTCCACGCTGACACCAGAACCTCCAGCTGCACCACAGCTACCTACGAGAAGCTCCACGCCAGCACCCCCAGAACGGGAACCCTCTCCAGCACTGGTGCCACCCCTAGGATCCGTGGACCCTTGCGGCAGCTGCTGCTGCAGCGGCGGCGACTGCGACTGCGGCCGCGACGGCAACTGCTGTGGCTGCGGTTGCGGTGGTGGCGATTGCAGCTTCTACTGCAGTGGCGACGACGGCTGCTCCGGCGACAGTGGAGGAGGAGACACTGGGGCGGAGACCGGCGGCGAGAATGCAGCGGCAGGGCCACCAGAGTCAGACGACTCCTCGAGCGGGACAACCGACGGGAGGGGAGTGACGTGAGACACACCAGGCAAGACGGGGGGGGAGAGGAGTAGAGGCTACCGGGGGAGCAGGAACCAGAAACAGGGGCGGGGAAACCAAGAGACCTCTGTGAGGAAAGCGGTGATAGAAGGAGATAGACTCGTCAAAGGTGACGTCACGCGAGTGAAAGAAGCGGTGGGACGACGGGTGGTAAAAGTGCCAGTCGGACGAATCGAGGGGGAAGCCAAGGAAGACACAGGTTAAGCTGCATGTAGTAAGCTTGTTGGTGCCTGAGGCACGAACGTGAGCAAGGCAGCCCTAGACGTGGAACGCAGACGCGTCACGAGGGAACCCGGTCCATATAAGGGTCGGCGAAACCTGCGGCTGCTGAGAGTGCGGCCACAGGTTAAGCTAGTGAGCGGCGTAGCGAGGGTGTACGGTTGGGTGATGCCCTCCGCACGACAGAACTGGCCAAGCCGACCATAGGCAAACTCGCCACCACGGTCGGAGTGGAGACACAGCACAGGGAGACTGCGGTGGACGCGCGGAGCTATGACCCACAGGATAAGAACGCCAGGCACATCGGCCTTCCGCTCCAGAGGAAACACCGTGGTGTAGCGCGTGTAGTTGTTGACAAGCATTAGAAAGTAGCGCTCTCGATGCGGCCCGGGGACGGGGGCTAGGCCCCAGATGTCCTGGTGCAGGGTCTGGAGTGGCGCGATGGCAGGGCGAAGCGAGGAAGAGTGAGGAGCACGGCATAGTCGGCCCTCGACGCAAGGCATGTATGGTGGCGCAGGCGAGGGAGGGAAGGCAAGGAGCGACGCAAGGAGACCTAGGACAATACCGTGCTGGGACATGTGACGCAGACGAGGGAGTGCGGGGTGATCTAGACGGTGGTTCCATAGAAGCGACAGGTGAGTGAGCAACCGACACGAGCAGGCCGCAACGACTTGAGTAGACGCAGGCACTTGGGGGGATGCCCTCACCAAGGGGGACTCGGTGTCGAGGGTAAACAGGCCAGACCGAGGGTCCTGGGGGAACGTGGTGATGGGGGTACCTGTAGCGACGTCTGTACAGACCACGTACCGCTCGTGTCCAGGGAACGTAGTGGTGACGCCGAGGTCCTGAAGACAGCCGACACCAACTAGGTTCCAGCAGAATGAGGGGATGTGCAGGCCCGTAAGGGAGCCTGAGGGAACCGCCGAACATGGAAGGGTAATAGAGCTGCGAGCAACTACAGGGCTCAAGGAGGGGTCAGCAAACGCGATAGCAGCAGAGGCGGCAAGCGGTGTGAGCTCAGTATGGTCGCAGAAGAAGCAGGCAGACGCGCCAGATTCAAGTGTGAAGGAGAGCGAAGCGAAAGCTGCAGCCGGCGGAGGAGAGAGCATGGAGCCTAGACTAAACAAAGCAGAAGGTCCTACGCTTGACGCTGCAGGGGAGTCTAGACTACACACAGGTGGCACACCTAAACTAGGCAACGCAGGGTAATAAGGTCCGGTCACACTAGAGGCATCAGCATACAGGGAATGCAAATCAGAACAAATCTGATCCATGTCTAACTCAAAAACAGGCACACCACGGCGCACAAGACTGAACCAGCCAGGGGGGTCCGGCACTGGGCCGAAGCGGCGGCGAAAGAGGTCGTCGAGGCGGCGGAAGCAACGGGTGGTAGGGTGCGGATGACCACACACAGTGTCGCGGAAGGGGCCGGTCTGGAGCTGGTACTGGCAACCCCTAGCGCTGGAGCTGCTGCCCGACGCCGAGCTGAGAGGGCCGCCATCACGACGACCACCACCAGAGGCACTGGGCCACTTCAGCGGGAGGCGGCCCTACGACTGCTGCTGCTGCTGCTGCGAGTGCTGTTGCTGCGGCTGCTGTTGCTGCTGCTGCTCTGGGGCACCAGCCCTGGTCCCCTCGTCGGAACCGTTGTCCCCGCCCCCACCTCCACCACCCCCACCACCCCCACCATCCTGACCTCCACCACGCCCCCCCTTGGGGCGGCGGCCCCTACGCTAACGCGGCTGCGCTGAGGCCGCACCGGCGGCCTCAGTAGCAGGGGCTGTCTCGGCGACAGCGGCAGAAACGTCAGCGTAAATGCACTGGGCGGGTGCACAGCCCTAAAACATAGGGACTGCCGGAGTACCACTCGACTGAGCGATAGTACGCTGGCGAGTCTCTATCTCGGACAGGGCATCGACAAAGGCGGTAAGGGTGAGGTCACCGGGGTGCTGACTAAGGAAGTGTTGGTGGGCAGTGGCTAAGCGGTCCGGAAGGCACGTGGCTATGACGTAAAGGGTAGCGCACAGCGGCGGCGGGAAGGCAGTAAGTTGGGCCTCAGTGCTAGCGGCGCGGTAGCTAGCCTCGAGTCCACGAAGGTGAGTGGCTAGGTTAGCGACAGTGGCGAAGGCCGCTAGGTCAGGGAAAAGCATGGGGAGGATCAGGCGGCCAGCGGAGGCGGAGGCGGGCGTGGAGTAGCGATCAACGACTGCCTCTAAGAACGCCTGAGCGTTCGCTACAGCGGTAAAGCGGGGACACTTAGACAGGGGTAGGGCATGACTAGTGGCAAGCTGCGCTACGGCGTCGCGCGAATCCCAAACAGCGCGAGCAAGCGCAGCAGTGGTAAAGGCCTCACGCTCAGCAGCGGTGGGGTCGTCAGTGAGGGCAACAGGCGCGGGGGGGTGGGGAAGCAAGCCATCGACATGAACAGCCAAGGGGTGGCCATCCTGGCGCTGACCTGCCAGGTGTCGGCGAAGGTCGACAATCCAGGCATCGAAGTCGATCGCGCGCCCCTCCGCGTCCAGGCGCAGCACAGCGTCCGCCATCGCACGACCTCAGCGACACGGCGACACGGCGATACGGTGGCACGACGACGCGGCTCCACGGCGTCACGGCGGCACTGCGGTACGGCTACTATGTGGCGCGGCTCCACGGCGTCACGGCGGCACTGCGGCACGGCTACACTGCGGCGCGGCTCCACGGCTCCACGGCGGCACTGCAGCATGACTACACGACGGCGCAGCGGCACAGCGGCAAGGCGACGGCGCGGCGGCGGGGGGAGGACGGCGGCACGGCAGCGGCACGGCAGTGGCACGGCGGCGGCACGGCGACGGCACGGGACGCTGGGGACGGCAGGAACGAGAGGTGGCTCGAACGGGGCCAGCGGGGCGCAAGGGACCAGCAGGGCGCTAGGGGGGCCAGCTAGGCAGGAACGGGGCCAGCAAGGTGCACAGGGCCAGCAAGGCGCACAAGGCCAGTAAGGTGCACGGGGCCAGCAAGGGCGAACGGGGGCCAGCGGGGCACGACGAAACTGGTGAGGCTAGGGCGTACGGGGCGCACGGGGCAAGCGGGGCTCGACGGGGCCAGCGGGGCGCTAAAGGGGCCTGCGAGGCGCACGGGGCTAGCGGGACATATGGGGCCAAGAGGGCGCTAACGGGTTAGCGGGGCGCCTAGGGGCCAGCGGGACGTACGGGGTCAGGAGGGCGCTACCGGGCCAGCGGGGCGTTAAGGGGCCAGCAGGGCGTACGGGGCCAGGAGGGCACTAACGGGCCAGCGGGGCGCTAAGGGAAGGGCGAGGGCGGAAGCGGGTGGGAGGACGGAACCTACTCAATACCATCTGAGAGTAGCGAGATGAATAGAAACAACAGTACAGAGTGCTTTTACCTAGTGGGTTGTACTCTCTAAAGGCATACACCTAACTAGCCTATACTAACATATTGCATATATGTTTGACAATGTGTTCTATCTTTCCATCTTCTCCTACCTTCAACACATTTCTGTGAGGTGCCTGCTGTATACATAACCCCTACTTTGGCATTCCATCAGCAGGAACGCCCTACTCACGCCACACGACAATGCTGGAAACGTTGATGAAGGAACTTCAGGTTGACACGTAGCAACCGGAACTTGAAGAAAACCATTAATTTCTGATACGCCACAAGTCACACGAGATGTGGGCCGACCAAAAACAAGGTGACGGAATGGCAGCTTGAATGGAAGTAGATGTGAAGGAAGGGAGGCGCAGGTGAGGGGCGACGTCACTGCTTTATTCTATAAAGCCTGGAGGGATTTCTTCTGCTCCTGCTTTTCTTCCTGTGGCCTCGTGCATTTCCATCGGTGCGAATCCGACTTTTCAGGCCAGCGCTCGCGGATTGAATCGTGGAGCCTCAAACATCCAGGCATCTGCATCGAGACGCTTCGCCTCTGCCTGCATCTGCGCCACTGCCCCTTCCTTTACCATTGCCAGGGTCTCCGTTTTTCTAGCCGGAGTTGCCGTCACTTCATCTGCAAGCCGAAGAAGTTCATCCTCTGACGGCACTTGCGGCGTCACCACACGACGGGACGGCCCTAGACCAAACATCCGTGGCACTGCCACTTTGCTGGAGATAAAACGATAGGTGGCCTAGAATGGTCCTACGGATTCTCCTTGGAAATGCAGACAAGCCACTTTCAACGCGGGAGCGAGACAGGCGCGAGGTACACGCGGCGCAACCCACAGACCCTCCAAGTGAAATGGCGGCGCTTTGACATACAGCAACAGGTCACCAGTAATCCTGAATTAGGGGAGATGGATGAGCGGCGATCCACGCACTCATTCAAGGGGGACTGTACTTGGCCACTTTGTGGTCCTTCCTCTCGTGGGCAGTTCCCCTCGTCCATGCGAGAGGCACGGCAGCAGCGGACAGATTCGAGCATGCTGGGTGGTGTGGCGGGAAACCATCCAAACTCTCTGCAACTGCTGTACTGCACGGAACTACACTGAATTGTTTAATCCGATAATTTTATGCGAGAACGAAGTGAAACTGAAGTGGGACAGTATCGAGGTCAAGTTATGCTGTGTGATACGCCCTGTCTTCTCACGCCGTACCGTCAGGACAGCCCCGACAATATCGAGGCTTGTTGGCTGGGAAAAACCATCCCCTCTGGCCGCACCATCTCGATTCTCGATTTAGCCGTTTCACTACGAGGGAGTGATCCATTGTCTCAGTCACACCGTCCCAACAATTTCGGTACTGTAGGGTAGATTGATTGAAAGCAGCGAAGTCTGCTCACAACAGCTTTGGTTGGTGAGCTGAGCTGACATCTCTTTGCCATCTCTTGACTATCGCAACAAGCAGACGCCATAACTAGAGACGGTCCAATCGCAAACGCTTTTAGATCACTCGGGTCCCTAGTCTCGCAGGCCGTTGAACATATCTGGGTTCATGAGAACTTTACCGTCTAGCTGACAGAAGCTCTTTTTCCTTATTATCTCGTAAAGGTGTCGTCTTTTTTTGCTGACTATAGCGTTTAGGGTTACGTGGGTCAGCAACATTCATGTAGTGAACCGGCTTCTTTTTTTATATCGTCTAAACTATCGTCTTCCGCAGCTTGAAGGCTATACTTACTACTGTACACCTTATCATCCAAAAGGTCGACCTCTCTAATTTATTTCTGACGTGTCATGTTTCGATGACGTGTCATGTGCGGATAATGGTCCGCCTACCATGGGCGTCGGTGGTGCGGAGGACTCTAACGGGGGAGGAGGAGCTGGGGGAGTAGCGATACTACAGATAGCAGACCCCGTTATAGCGTCAGGACGTGCAGACCCCGTTATAGCGTCAGGCCGTTTACCGTCTCCTGACGCAACCCCTTCTATCACCACGGCTAACGATTCACAGGGCTACGAGCTTTCTCCTGAACGACCCTCTAACTACCGCGATGCGTGGGCGGAGTTAAACGCTACTCTTGGCGCTGGTAGAAGCAGCAGCGAGCGGAAAGAGAGCAGCCGTTTAAGCAGAAGGGCTATTCCAATGGCGGAAGGGGAGAGGCGGCGCGTTTCTAGATCGAGCCGTAGCCCGGGATTAGACAACGATTATGACGACGAGCGGGAGCGCGGGAGCGGGGGGAGGTCGATTAACGGCGTCTTGCGCCGCGAGAAATCCCCCCGTCCCGAGCGGCCGCGCCACTCAATCGACGACTACGGAGGAGGGGGTATCGCGCGACCTTCCACGTCCGGGGGGAGGAGAATGCGGCGCGACAACTCAGGCGGAGACGACCTGTCGACCACCGGTGCCAGCCGGCCTCCTGATTGGCTGAGAGAATCTGGCGGGGGCGCTGCTCGGCCGGCAACCAGCGGGGGCCGGAGAATGCGCTCGTCCGGTCTTGGGGGGATGGGGGGAGAGGATGGCGCATCGATTGTCTCTCCGCGGATGGGCGGGGAGAGGCCTGTTGGCTCCCCGCGCGGAACGATGATGCCCAAGTCGCACTCCGCTGCCCGCGCCATGGCGGGGGGGATTGGGGGGAGCGCGCGGGAGCGCCTGCAGTCCCCGTTAGCGGAGGACGGGGAAGAAATTATGTCGCCTTCTAGAGGCCGGTCTGTAAGCAGGTGGGTGGAGGACTCTATTCAGGAAGGGGGAGCGGGGGCGGGGGGAGCAGGCGCAGGGGGAGGGGAGCGGGTCCCGGCGAACATGCGGTTTGCGCGGCGGTGCAGATCGGTGCAAGTGTATAACGCAGGTGATGACCCGGATAGTAAGATTAACCGGTCTGCTTCTAGCGCTTCCGAGGCGAAAATTGCACTCGGCGGCGGAGGGGGGGGAGCAGGCGGAGCGAGCAGCGGCGGCGGGCGACCGATTTCGCCGGATCGCGAAAGCATGTCGTCGACGTCGTCGTCCGTGCGACGGTACCATCCCAAACACGGAGACGACGATATCGCGTACGAGGACGGGGAGAGGCGGCCCCGGCGCAGGGCGGCGGCGGACGAGGATGATCTGGGCAGGCGCGCGGGGAGCATGCGGGAGCGGGGGGAAGGCGGGTTCGAAAACACCCCCCGCACGCCCCCCCCGCGCATGCACTCACGCTCCAGGTACGCGGATGAGGGCGGCGCAATACGATCTCCGCTGAGGCGGAGGCCGCCCGGGGGGGAACGAGACCCCCACCGCCCACCGTCCCGCCAGAGCTCCCACGCTTCCGACGCGGGGGACCCCTCCTCAGCGCTACACCCGCGCCCGCCCTCGCGCAGCAGCGGAGCATCAGGGGACATGCCCGCGCCCAGCCCCTCGGGGAGGCTGAGAAGCGGAGCGGGCAGGCGGGGGGTGGCGGAACACGGGGAAGCTGGCGCGCGCCCGCGCACCCCCACGGGGATGGAGATGTCGGGGCGGATGGGGTTCGGGGGGGAAGGGCTAAGCCGGCCGAAAACAGCGGATGTGCATGGACGGAGGCTTGCAGTCCCCCGCTCCGCCTCTACCACCGAGGGAACTGCGCTGGCGGGGTTTTCCAAGGAGCGGGGGGAGCGAGGGGAGAAGGGGGTTCAGCGCTCCGCTTCTGAAGCGGCGGACGAAGAGGAGGAAGGGGGGGGTTATGGGGGGGGGCATAGGGTCGCGCGGTACAGTGGCGCAATGCGGTCAAGAACGGTCGCGGGAGCAGGGGCGGGGGGGGAGTTTGATGATGAGGAGACGGAGGAGGAGTTGCGGATGATCGAGGAGAAGGAGCGGAGGCGGAGGCGGGCGGAACGGGCGCGCAGGATGCGCGGGGACGTTCCGGAGGGGGACGAAATGGACGGCGACGATGACTTTGATGATGAATTCGACGATGAGGATGGCGCGGATAGGGGGTATGGGCGGATGGGGACGGGGGGGAGAGGGGAACGGGGGGACAGGGAGCCTAGGCGGGGGTATAGGCGCCGGGAAGAGGATATAATGAGAGAGGAACATCGGCGACTGGCTTTAGAACTGGAAAGAGAGAGGGAGGAGAGGAGGAAACTCGCAGATGAGCTTAAGAGACTCGAGAGGGAGACTAAGGAGCGAGAGGAGAGGAGGCGGATGGAGAAGGAACGAAGGCGGGCGGAAAAGGAGAAGCTAGTAGCGGAAGTGGCGGCGCTGCAGCTGCCCTCAGGGGGGGACGCGGAGGACGGGGGGACGGGGGAGGGCAGGCGGACCCCCCGCATGGGCGGGGGCATGCTCTCCCCGTTTGGCGGACGGCAGAAAACGCCTGAGCGCGAGCGGAGAGGCGCGGGGGGGAATCGCCCTATGACCCCTGAGAGGAGACCTGTAACACCGGAGGGCATGCAGGCGAGACTGACCAGAAAAAACAGAGAGGTGATTCGGGCAGCCCGAAAAGAAGCAGCGGCAGCGGAGAAGTCGAGTGATGGGGCACAGGCGGCGTTGCAGCAGGTGCTGGTTAATATTCTGAAGCGGCCTTTTGCGGATGTCAGGGAGTCTTATAAGGTGGATAAGAACGAGCTGGGGCGGGGCAGGTTCGGCGTGATCCGAGCCTGCGTGGATCGGGTGACGGGGGAGAGGCTCGCTTGCAAGACCATCAGCAAGGGGATGCTGCAGGTATGTGACTAAAACGGTGATGGAGGTGCAGGTATGTGACTATAACGGTAATGGAGGTGCAGGCTTGGGACTATAACGGTAATGGAGGTGCAGTTATGTGACTGAGTCCCCAACTGCCCGCTGCCCCTGCTTCATGTGGTCGTTGCAGTGCCAGCAAGCCACAGAGGGCGTGAGGAGGGAGGTAGCCATTAGGGAGACTAAGGGCTGGCTGTTCCGCGTCCCCCTTCCTAACCCAACCCGCCCTTTCCCATGCAATGCGTCATTTGGTGGTTGCAGTGCCCGCAACGCATAGAGGACGTGTGGGGGGGGAGGTGGCGAGAGATTGAGGTCTGAGCGATTCCTGATGATCCCCATGTTTCTCTCCGCCCTCGTCCTGCCTGCAGTGCCCTGCACTCCTGCCTGCCCTGCCTGCCCCCCTGCAGTGTCATCGTCAAGGCATAGAGGACGTGAAGAGGGAAGAAGCAGTGATGGAGACATGTGTTAAACCTCTAATCTAACCCCCCCTCCTCCTCTCCCCCCCCCCACCCACCCCCCCCCACCCCGGACCTCTTCTAACTCTTCCCCCTGCAGTGCCAGCTAGGCATAGAGGGCGTGCGGAGGGGGGTAGCGGTGATGGAGACCAAGGGCTGACCTGTTCCCTACCCCCCTTCCCTATCCCCCTTCCCTTTCCCCCTTCCCTACCCCCTTCCCTACCCCCCTTCCCTATCCCCCTTCCCTTTCCCCATTCCCTATCCCCAACTGCCTGTGCCCGTGCGTCATCTGGCTATTGCAGTGCTCGCAAACATGTCATAGAGGACGTGAGGAGGGACGTACCAGGGGGTAGAGGCTTGGATATGATCGCTTATCGCCCTCCGTCGTTCCTGGTGTTTGTTGACCATCCCTTGTGTTGCATGGCTTTTGCAGTGCCAGCAAGATTTTTGAGTCGACTCAAAAATCGACTCATTACACATGGCTATTGCAGTGCCAGCAAGACATAGAGAGCGTGCGGAGGGAGGTAGCATCATTGATGGAGGATGGGATGGGGTGGTTCTCAAGTCCCTTCTTATGCCCTACCTCCCCTCTGTCTTCCCCCCCTGCTCTGCTCTGCAGTGCCAGCAAGACACGGAGGACGTGAGGAGGGAGGTAGCTGTGATGGACACTTGTGTTGATCCTCTTCTTCCCCCTCCCCCCCCTCCTCCTCCCCTCCTCCTCCCTTTCCGCCTCTCCCCTCCACAGTGCTAGCAAGACATAGAGGACGTGTGTATGTGATTTTGAGTCAACTCAAAAGGTGGTTTTTGAGTCGACTAAAAACTCCCCTCCACAGTGCCAGCAAGACATAGAGGACGTGCATATGGAGGTGGCAAGAGATAGAGGCTTGAGTAGAACCACACTCTTCCCTCCTCCCCTCCCTCCCCACCCCCCTCCGCCTCTCCCCCCTGCAGTGCCAGCAAGATATAGAGGACGTGCGGAGGGAGGTAGCGGTGATGGAGATGCTGCAGGGCCACCCTGATGTGGTCAATCTGAGGAGCACATTCGAAGACGCTCAGGTGCGCTGCAATGCCAGTCTGCCAGATACTTCAGTGTTTAGAGGTTGCACTTTTTGAGACGCCTCAGAAATAGTGATTGCACTCCACTCCACTCCACTCCACTCCACTCCACTCCACTCCACTCTCCACTCCACTGGGAACGAAAGGGACGTAGCGGTGATGGAGATGCAGCGGAGCCAAGCAGACGTGGTCAATCTGCGCAGCACATTCGAGGACGAGCAGGTGGGTTGCGAAGTTTGGTAACGCCGTCTGTTACACGTTTGGTAGCACCACATTGCTGCACTGAGGAAGTGAGGGTAGCGGAGATGCTTCAGGGCCTCCCAGACGTGGTCAATCTGCGCAGCACATTCGAGGACGAGCAGGTGGGTTGCGATGTTTGTCACATCTTCTAGGGTTTGCTGCACTAGTGTGTGGTAGTTGGCGCCACATTGCGCCGCTGAGGACACGAGGGTAGAAGGGACGGAGATGACTTTTGAGGCGCCTCAAAAGGACGGAGATGCGGCAGGGACCTTCATGGCAGCCTATATGGCCGACCTAAAAGGAAATCCTTAAAGTATGTCACCCGTAATTCTCAGGCCGCAGAAGATGGACATGGTCAAAGGGCGAGGCTTGGGCCGGGTTGGCCCCCACGTCGGCCCGAGGCCCGTCTGTAGAGGACGGGCCAGCCAGGGTAGGCCCGTCCTCGGGCCTACCATATCGCCCCCCAATCCCTGCGGATCCGGGCGTTTGACGGCTGATCCGAGCAAATTTGGCATTGCACGGATCTGTCGTTTCGCCCCCCGGTCCGTGCGGATCTACGCGAATCTTCTACCTAGGGCCGAAAATTTGACCAAATTCTAGCCAGGAGGACTGTAGCAGCCGAGGCGGCTGTTGATCATGTCCAAGAGCTTACCCCGTCCCCCCCTCCCCCACCCCCCCCAACCCCCCCCTCCCCCCTCTTCTCCAGGACGTGCATCTGGTGATGGAGCTGTGCGAAGGAGGGGAGCTGTTCGATCGTATTAAGGCCAAGGGTAAATTTTCTGAGGCGGAGGGGGCGAAGGTGCTGCGCACGGTGATAGGCGTGCTACAGCACTGCCACGAGCTGGGGGTGATGCACCGCGACTTAAAGCCTGAGAACATCCTGCTGAACAGCAAGGAGTCGGACACGGACCTGAAGGTCATCGACTTCGGAGTTGCCACCTTCTTCCAGAGAGGTGAGAGAAAGGTCCTAGCTGAGAAAGGTCCTAGCTGAGAAAGGTCCTAGCTAAAAGAGAAGTGCATTGGAAAGAGAGGCTCAAAGCCCGAGAACATCCTGCTGAACAGCAAGTAGTCGGACACGGATCCTGAGGTCAGACCAGTATGGGTTGGAGGAGGACAGTAGGCAGAGGCTCCCCTCATCTCGTGGTGGGTGGTGGTGGTGGTGGTGGTGGTGGTGGGTGGTGGTGTTGAGTGGTGGTGGTGGGTGGTGGTAAGGGTCCTAGTTGGGAAAGGTCCTAGTTGGGAAAGGTCCTAGTTGGGAAAGGTCCTAGCTGGGAAAGGTCCTAGTTGGGAAAGGTCCTAGCTGGGAAAGGTCCTAGTTGGGAAAGGTCCTAGCTGGGAAAGGTCCTGCTGGCTAGGAAAGAGGTGCATGGGAAAGAGGGGGTCAAAGCCCGACAACACCCTGCTGAACAGCAGGGAGTCAGACACGGATTCAAGGTCATTGACTTTGGCTTTGCCACCATTGGCTTTGACTTAGGCTGAGACGGAGGTTAGTCGTGACCAGTATGGGTTGGAAGAGGACAGTAGGCAGAGGCTCCCCTCATCTCGTGGTGGGTGGGTGGTTGGTGGTGGGTGGTGGTGGTGGGTGGTGGAGGAGGGTGGAGGCAGAGACTCCCCTCATATCTCATCTCCCGGTCCGTGCTCTCTCTTCCCGCCAGGCGATCCCTGCATGGGAGGGACATGGCGGGAAACCCCTATCGCCTAGCTCCAGAGGTCCTGGTGAAAAAGCGTGGGGCAGAGGTGGACAAAAGGCATAGACTTCCCTCATCTCCTCTCTTCCTACTCCCTCCCTTCCCGCACGCCCACACCAGGTAAACCATGCACCGACATGGCAGGCAGCCCCTACTACCTGGCTCCAGAGGTACTTGCAGAAAAACACAGCCCAGAAGCAGACATATGGAGCGCCGGTATGGTGCTCTACATCCTGCTGTGCGGCCTGCTGCCTCTTATCTCCCAGGACTCCCTCTTCCTCCTCCCTCCTTCCCCCACCAGGTAAACCCTGCACTGACATGGCAGGCAGCCCCTATTATTTGGCGCCAGAGGTGCTGGCTGAGAAGTACGGCCCCGAGGCAGACATCTGGAGTGCGGGCGTGGTGCTCTACATCCTGCTGTGCGGGCTGCCGCCCTTCTGGGGCACGACCAACGAGGCCATCTTTGAGGCGATCAAGGAGGCCACACTCAACCTCGTGCGCCCGCCCTGGCCGTCGATTTCGGAGGAGGGGAAGGACCTGGTGCGGCAGATGCTCAACCGGAATCCCAAGAAGAGGATCACGATTGAAGAGATACTGGGTAAGTTAAGTTAGCTCCTTGTTTCCAAAAATTATTAGTTTTTTTTTGTAATATTGCCCCCCCCTACCCCGCATAAAATAAAATCCATATTGTGAAAGCTTGCTTTGGTCCTCTTGAAAGGCAGCGTGCTTCATTTCATATGGGTCACATACATTGGTTCTCGTCCAATAAACTACTAAACACATAGCTAGGGTGGGTGGGCGGGGAAACTCAAATGAGTTGGACTAGAAATGAAGAACGTGGGTGAGGCTGAGAGGCCTCACGTTCCTCTTTTGAATGCAAAAGAGGGTTAGGTGCGCTTCGCCGCTGCCTTTGCTGCGTTGGCCCTTGCTACACTATCACAATACACATTTTTAGAAAGCGTCACACGCTTAAAAAAAAAACATTGATCCTGCCACTCCAGCGGCCCCCTTGAATATCTTGCTTCTCACATTTTCCCCCACTCTTGCTTGGGATGTTCTATTTCCCCTCCCCACAGAACATCCTTGGATTGTCAAGAATGCAGGCCCATCATGACATGACACCTGCTTGAAGATTTCAAGTTGAAAACCCTCCTTGTAGTCTTGTCAGGGCGCATCTCCAGCGGCAAGCGTTTCAAGAATTATCTGTGTCAAACCCACCCCTGAAAACTGATTCCGTGACACCGTGTCAGCCAGAGATGCGCTCTTACTGGCTTACTGTTCATCATTGGACAAATGAGAAGAGGGTGGTAGCCTTTGTTTCTTATGGTTTTGTGTATGCATGGGGGGCATTGTCCACTCACTAGCCTAGAGTAGTGTTTTTAGGGAACCCAGATTCTAATTTTAGGCAACTGATTTGTACAAGAGCAAACTCAGATGGCCTCCTCGGCTGCTACCGCAATAGTGAGTGTACTTCCAACTTGTACAAGAACTGTCGGTCGATTGTCATTGGCTAGAAACTGGAGGATGCTGCCGTCCTTGGCATACTTCGCGCCTTTCCTCATTCTCACCGATTGCTCTTTTGTTCACATCGTCTAGTGCTCTCACACAGACACTGTCAGTTAGCTCCATGGAAGGAATGGCACCGCACGCTTCGTCCCGAACAGGCGGACGTTGCCGAGCCGAGGTCCAACGGCAAGCAAAGCGACGATTCACCGCATTAGATGTTTCCTCCCCTCCCACCCCCCCGCCCCTCCCCCCTTTCCCTTTTCGTGCCGCCTTTTCAGAATGACGGCCACGGTTTCCTTTCCCTCCTTGGGCAAGGGCCAACCAAACACGTAATCCACCCAGCCCAATTCTTGAAGCGCCTAAAGAAACAAACTGCAAACCCTCATCCAGCCAGGCAGCGCTTCTGCTCTCCACGTCATTTCGTTCCGTAAGACTGCTCCCCCTTTTCTTGCACTTTCTTTCACAATTTCGCCCCGCGCCGCTAGTAATGCTGCCTGAGCCCGATTGCCAAATCAACCTAATCTTTCAGGACGCTGTAGACGCGCAGTGACTTCGCAACAATGGACCCGAAAGCTTCCACTTTCATCATAGGAAAAGCACACATGAAAGCATGCAGTCTTCGCACAATCGTTATGGCTACACTAGCGCGCTGCTGACGTCTCCCGTGTTCTGTGTTGATAGCATTATCCTTAGCAGTATGTCGGTCGCAAGGCTACGGAGCGTTAATTTCACTCGTGAGCTAGGAGGGACGAGCATATATTTGTGATCATAAAAGCCTCGTATCTTTGCATAGTAAGGCCTCTTTTTGTGACGTCCTGTAACACTTTTTTTTGCGGTTTTCGCCCCCCACGCAGGCTCTCAGCGCTCTCGCAAATCACAAGGCGTTCGCGAACAGGGCATTTGCGATAACCCCGCAAGGCGAAGATGGGCTTGGACCCTCACATTTCAAGGCGTCGCCGTTTTCCCGCGCTTTTTCGGCTGGTGGTTGTGGGGATTTGCCTCCAAATCCTTCTCGGCAACCCCAGTGGTGGGCAGCAGCTGTTCGACCCATCTCAAGGTGAAGAAAAAGAGTGTAACAAGACCGCTTAGATTGAGTTACACTACGCATATAAAATGAGTAATGTGACCATTGATAAAAACACGTCTTGGTATAAAATTGAGTTTTCATTAGCAGATGTATTTTCCATATTCTATTTGGAAGAGGTGTCGAGAGACCTGCTGGGGTTACCCTTGAGAAGATCCTCGGGGAAGGGCCATAGGTGCAGTCTGCAAAGCATGGGGGGCTATGGGCGCACTGACCCGCTGCTAATGAAGCCCTTTTAACTCAGTGGTTAGTGACTGAGTTCTATCATGCTATCAGAGCGTTAGTAACTCGGGTTCAATCCCCAGTGCTAGCGCTGCAGAGGCGCTCGTGTCCTCCGCCTATCCCAGCGAGGGGGGGTGTCGAAAGACCCGCTGGGGTTACCCTTGAGAAGATCCTCGGGGAAGGGCCACAGGTGCAGAGCCTGGGGGGCTATGGGCGCACTGACCCCCTGTAAATAAAGCCCTTTCAACTCAGTGGTTAGTGGCTGAGTTTCTAACAAGAGGGCGGTTTCTGACCTTATGCTGAAGACCCTTCCGTTGGCGGTCGTCCCTGTTTTCTCGCCCCGTAGTTCCTCCGCTGCTAGAGTGCGAGCGCGGTTGGGGGCGTAACTTCAGCGGATGGCGCAACCTGGCGCGCGCCGACTGCTTGCGCGCCGAGGGGCTGGCCTGCGACTCTGAAGGGATGGTGGGATCGTTGTGAGTGCTGACTTGCTTTGTGAGTGCTGACTTGCTTTGTGAGTGCTGACGTGCTTTGTGAGTGCTGACGTGCTTTGTGAGTGCTGACTTGCTTTGTGAGTGCTGGCGTGCTTTGTGAGTGCTGACGTGCTTTGTGAGTGCTGACGTGCTTTGTGAGTGCTGGCGGGCTTTGTGAGTGCTGACGTGCTTTGTGAGTGCTGGCGGGCTTTGTGAGTGCTGACTTGCTTTGTGAGTGCTGGCGGGCTTTGTGAGTGCTGACGTGCTTTGTGAGTGCTGACGTGCTTTGTGAGTGCTGACGTGCTTTGTGAAGGCTGACGTGCTTTGTGAGTGCTGACTTGCTTTGTGAGTGCTGACGTGCTTTGTGAGTGCTGGCGGGCTTTGTGAGTGCTGACGTGCTTTGTGAGTGCTGGCAGGCTTTGTGAGTGCTGACGTGCTTTGTGAGTGCTGGCAGGCTTTGTGAGTGCTGACGTGCTTTGTGAGTGCTGACGTGCTTTGTGAGTGCTGACTTGCTTTGTGAGTGCTGACTTGCTTTGTGAGTGCTGACTTGCTTTGTGAGTGCTGACTTGCTTTGTGAGTGCTGACGTGCTTTGTGAGTGCTGGCGTGCTTTGTGAGTGCTGACGTGCTTTGTGAGTGCTGACGTGCTTTGTGAGTGCTGGCGTGCTTTGTGAGTGCTGACGTGCTTTGTGAGTGCTGACGTGCTTTGTGAGTGCTGGCGGGCTTTGTGAGTGCTGACGTGCTTTGTGAGTGCTGACGTGCTGTGAGTGCTGACTTGCTTTGTGAGTGCTGACTTGCTTTGTGAGTGCTGGCGTGCTTTGTGAGTGCTGACGTGCTTTGTGAGTGCTGACGTGCTTTGTGAGTGCTGGCGGGCTTTGTGAGTGCTGACGTGCTTTGTGAGTGCTGGCGGGCTTTGTGAGTGCTGACTTGCTTTGTGAGTGCTGGCGGGCTTTGTGAGTGCTGACGTGCTTTGTGAGTGCTGACGTGCTTTGTGAGTGCTGACGTGCTTTGTGAAGGCTGACGTGCTTTGTGAGTGCTGACTTGCTTTGTGAGTGCTGACGTGCTTTGTGAGTGCTGGCGGGCTTTGTGAGTGCTGACGTGCTTTGTGAGTGCTGGCAGGCTTTGTGAGTGCTGACGTGCTTTGTGAGTGCTGGCAGGCTTTGTGAGTGCTGACGTGCTTTGTGAGTGCTGACGTGCTTTGTGAGTGCTGACTTGCTTTGTGAGTGCTGACTTGCTTTGTGAGTGCTGACTTGCTTTGTGAGTGCTGACTTGCTTTGTGAGTGCTGACGTGCTTTGTGAGTGCTGGCGTGCTTTGTGAGTGCTGACGTGCTTTGTGAGTGCTGACGTGCTTTGTGAGTGCTGGCGTGCTTTGTGAGTGCTGACGTGCTTTGTGAGTGCTGACGTGCTTTGTGAGTGCTGGCGGGCTTTGTGAGTGCTGACGTGCTTTGTGAGTGCTGACGTGCTGTGAGTGCTGACTTGCTTTGTGAGTGCTGACTTGCTTTGTGAGTGCTGACTTGCTTTGTGAGTGCTGACTTGCTTTGTGAGTGCTGACTTGCTTTGTGAGTGCTGACTTGCTTTGTGAGTGCTGACTTGCTTTGTGAGTGCTGACTTGCTTTGTGAGTGCTGGCGGGCTTTGTGAGTGCTGGCGGGCTTTGTGAGTGCTGGCGGGCTTTGTGAGTGCTGAGGTGGCACTGTATGAGCTCACTTGCACCCCAATGCCCTCTCACACCTCTCACTTGTATCCTCGTCTCCCCCTCTCTTCCTCAATCGGCTCATTTGTATTCCCCCACTACTCACGTTCATTGCTCTCCCCCTCCTTTTCTTCATGGCATTTTACCCTCTTCGACTTTATTTCCTCACCAGAATGTTTAAATCTGCCGATCTCGACGGACCCATTCCCTCGGCTATTGGACAGCTCGTGCACCTGAGATACCTGTAAGATCTGTTCGGATCACCTGAGGTCATCTGAGAAGTCGCATCAGATCCTGCTGTGAGAAGGAGTCAGTTTATATTGTTCCACAACTGGGTCCAATATTACAAGGCGCGAGAAGTGTGCACGACTTGGGCGGGACCTAGAACCTGCAATCGGCTGCGAGAGTCCCAAGTGCGCTTCTTTTGGAAAACAAAACGGCAAACTTTGCCACCCTTCCTGAACGCCTTGTGGTGGCTTGGAACATCGTATCCCCAAATTTCAATCCTCACTCACAGACACTCTTCCTTAACTTTTCTTTCTTTCTTTCTTTCTTTCTTTCTTTTTTAGCAGCCTGCAAGTGGCTCAACTCCACCTATAGTGCTTATGTACTCCAAGATTCCCACACATCTCATTATTATCATTTGCTCATTAATATGTTATCCCTAGCCAGTACACCACTCATTCTGCCTCCTTTGCCATGGTTCTCTATTGTCCTCGTTATAAGCAGGGGCTTGAGTGACAACAGGCTGACTGGGTCCATTCCTGCCTCCCTTTCAACCCTGGTGAATCTCGAGTATATGTATGTCTTCTTCCCCGTTATGAGACTATGACACTTTACACCACTTTATAAGCATGTCTATTCAGTCATATTCATACATGATTCTTCCATCGTGTCTGCACTAGTATAATACTTTGGGGAACATTGAGCAACAACGCAGCCTCGCCCCGAATATCATACCGTCAACCCTCCATTTCCTTCTTTCTGCTTTCATTGTGCCCCTTCCCCCTCCCCCTCCCTCCCTCCCCCCCATCCCAGCTCATTCGTCCCTTCCTTCCTTCCTTCCCAGTTCTCACTCACTCTCATCACATCACCCTCTCACATCCTCCTCTTACCCGACTGTCTTCTCCTTATCATCGCCCCTCTCTTCTCATTTTCATCTACCAGTCGTCTCCTCAAGCACCAGCCCTCAGTCTCTGGCCCTTCGAGGGGACTCAAATGGCGTCGCACCACCCTTCATCACGAGCCTTCCCCCCAATCCACCTGCCATCGCCCTTCTCTCTTCCTCACTTCTTGCCAGAATTCTCACCAAGACCCAGCTCTCAGGCCCTGTGTGCCATCTTCGTATACTGCCCTCTTCCCAATCCCCCTTCCATCTCTCCCCAATCCCCCTTCCATCTCTCCCCAATCCCCCTTCCATCTCTCCCCAATCCCCCTTCCATCTCTCCCCAATCCCCCTTCCATCTCTCCCCAATCCCCCTTCCATCTCTCCCCAATCCCCCTTCCATCTCTCCCCAATCCCCCTTCCATCTCTCCCCAATACCTCTTCCATCTCTAGACATGGCACCAAGAACCAGCCCTCAGCCCCTACCATCTGCATCCGATGCCCTCTCCCCAGTGCTCCTGGCATCTCCCCCTCTCCTCCCAAATATCACCCAGGCTTCTCGCCAAGAACCAACTCTCAGGCCCTATACCAGCCGCCATCAGCGCCCTCTCCTCCCTCACTCTCCTGTGAGCCACCTTGCTTTCTTACCCTTGTCGTTCGTTGTGAAACTTAATTCGCTTGCTGCAATGTGACTTTACATCCACTCTCCTCTCCTCCTGTGAGCTCCACACTCGGTCTCCGGTGTGATAAAGCGGGTTAGATCCGCAGTGAGCTAACAAAATATCTCTCTTTTGAATCTATGGATCTAACTAACTACTAAGTAGAGAGAGATTTCGAGTAGAAAAAAGCTTACTACTCAATCTTAGACAAGCATCGCATGGGATGTGCGAATGCGAACGCGTTTCGGCTGGATCGCTCCGCACTCTCCTCCAGTAATGACCCTCTCATGCGCTTAGGCAGGAGCAAATGGCTGAGCTGGCAGCTCGGCCCGTCGGCCCAGGTCGAGTCAAGCCTCCTGCCTTGGAGGATCCTCTTTTGGAGCAGAGTCTCCTCTCATCTTCTGGCCGTCAATGGGCCCATCCCCGAGGCAATAACAGCTGTTGAGTTGACTCAAAGCAGGCTCAAGAGTCGACTCAACAGCAGTCTCCTCTCCTCTCCTGCCTGTCCTTGCCCAGATCACTCGGTTACAACAGCGTCAGCGGGTCCATCCCCGAGGCAATAACATCCCTCTCAGCCCTTAAGATCCTGTGAGCGCTTTTTGTTAGGGTGGATTGCTGCTGCCCCATGCATTTACCGACCTAAGGCACAAACCGTAGCGGTGGTAAGTCAACGCTGTGAGGCAATAACAACCCTCTCAACCCTCAAGTTCCTGTGAGCGCTCTTGGCCTCACCGGAATGGCAGTAGGGCTTGAGTCGAGTCAGTCTGCCAACTCTTCCTTGCAGAAATGCTTTGGTCTGTGTCAAGACTCAAACCCAGGACAGGCAGGAAGGGAGGGTATGGTAAATGTGTGTTTGTGAGAATGTATAAGATGTAGTTTTTCCAATCACCTCGGCCATTTCATCCCCCCTTGTGGTGCATAAACATTGTTGCCCTGCTGTTCCAGTTACCACCTTCCATAAAGGTGCCCTTGTGACCCTTTGTGTAAAGCCCTCGCTTCTTCGTTCGGTAAGTAACAAGTGCCCCCTCCTTATGTACCAATCCCATCCCCCTCCTACACACATTCCCTGCACCAATCCCCACCCCCCTCCAGTGACCTCCAGCTCAACAGGCTAGAGGGCGAGTGGCCTGATTTCCTTTCAAAGATGACAGCCCTTACTGCCCTGTAACTCTGCATTGCTCCCCAGCCCTTACTGCCCTGTAACCCTGCATTGCTCCCCATCCCTTGCTGCCCTGTAACCCTGCATTGCTTGCTCCCCATCCCTTGCCTTTCTCGTCATCCCTTGCAATGCACAGCGTCTGTTTCCTCACACTCTCGAAACGATCACGTGCACTGTTCCACTGCGTCCGTTCACTATGGTCCATTTCCGTAAGGCTACCCCCCTGACCTAAGTTCGAGTTATTCCTGCCATGCCACGCGCTCATGCTCTCTTGTTTGCTTTCGCTTGTTGTCTTTTGCACCATTTCTCTCCTCTATTTGCTCGTTCAAGAGAACTGAGCAACAATAACCTCTCAGGCTCCCTACCTGCTTCCATCAGTGCACTCACCAACCTCTATGCTCTGTGAGTGTGCTTTCTTCACTTGGCCCATTCGACATACACTGTGATTTCTTCACTTGGCGCATTAGAAATACACTGTTTTCTTCACTTGGCGCACTAGAAATACACTGTTTTCTTCACCCACTAGAAATACACTGTTTTCTTCACCCATTAGAAATACACTGTTTTCTTCACCCATTAGAAATACACTGTTTTCTTCACCCATTAGAAATACACGGTTTTCTTCACCCACTAGAAATACACTGTTTTCTTCACCCATTAGAAATACACTGTTTTCTTCACCCACTACAAATACACTGTTTTCTTCACCCATTAGAAATACACTGTTCTCTTCATCCATTAGAAATACACAGTTTTCTTCACCAATTAGAAATACACAGTTTTCTTTGTCGGAAACTGAAAACTTCATTGATAAATGAGCAAGAGCATACATCCTTAAGTACCAAGCATCGGAGAGGATGGGAAGGGATAAGGGAGAATTGGAGGGAATCCCAAGGGAATCCTCCCAAATCGGGGGATTTGGGATGGATTGGGTTGGGATAGGTTGGGGATGAAATTAAAGCTACACCCAACCTAACAAATATGCCTAACCCTAACCCTAAAGCCAACAAATTCCTAACACACAAAGTTGTGCCAACCAAATTGCAGCCTATCTCCAACACACCCCCTAGGCTGCAACGTCGGACGCCGTAGGGACGCCAAGTCCCATGGTACGAAGGAGACGATAGTGATCACGGCGTCCAAGAGCCTTGGTGAACAAGTTGGCGAAGTTGCAATCAGAGGAGATGTGCTTGACACACAAATGCCCGCGCTGGACGAGCTCGCGCATGAAGAAGTGTTGAAGTTCGATATGCTTGGTCCGTTGGTGGAAGACAGGGTCTTTGGTAAGGTGTATGGTGCTCTCGTTGTCACACCACAGAGTCGGGGTCTGCTGAGGATACCCGAGCTCAGCCATGAGGTAGGTAAGCCATCGAGCTTCTTGGGCTGCCATGGTGCCTGCATATAGCTCAGCTTCGCAGGATGACGATGAGACGGATGATGAGCGTGTAGATCGCCAACTGATGACAACACTGCCAAGGGTGAAGCAATAGCCTTGGGAAGAGCGGCGGTCAGCTTGATCATCAGCCCATGAGGAGTCGTTGTATCCTTCGAGGTGTGGAGAGGTTGTGCCACCCAGAGTGAGGACGTAGTCCTTGGTGGCTTGAAGGTAGCGAAGGACGCCCTTAGCAGCTGGCCAGTGGTGATTGGTGTATCGACCGGCAGCAACGTAGCGCGAGAGCACACTGATGGTGTAGGCGAGGTCGGGCCTTGTGCACATCATCGCATACATGAGTGATCCGACGAGCTCGGGATATGCCTCATTACAAGGCTCAGGAGATGGAACTGATGGAGCGGTCAGATCATGCTGCAAGGGAAGGGGAGTGGCCACTGGCTTGGTGTTGTCCATGGCAAAATGATTGAGGATGTTGTTCACATAGAACTCTTGGTAGAGAGTGATGGTGTGAGCTTCGCGATCCCTCGAGATTTCCATCCCAAGGTAGTTCTTGAGTTCGCCGAGGTCCTTCATGGCGAGAGCATCCCCAAGTGCTTGTTTGACAGCTGCCAGCTGATCGGAGTCCTTGGAGACGAGAATCATATCGTCAACTTAGACGAGAATGAAGAATGGGTTCTCGTTGTTCTGAATGAAGAGACTCGGATCGGCAGAGGAAGGGTGGAAGTCGAGTGACTCGAGGGTTACCTTCAGCTTCTTGTGGCATTCTCGAGGAGCCTGCTTCAACCCGTACACTGGTCGATTTAGTTATTAGACCGTGCCGGGTGGAAAGGGCAAGGGAAATCCTTGAGGACGTTCCATGTAAATGTCCCTCGGGGAGATCCCCTTGGAGAAATGCAACAGAGACGTCCATGGAGTGGACGCCAAAGTTGCATCGAGCAGCGATGTCCAGCAGGGTCCGTAGAGTGGGCAGTTTGGCCGTCGGAGAGAACGTGTAGAAGAAGTCCAGACCCTTTATTATGAGTGAAGCGTTTTGCACAGTATCGTGCCTTGTAGACTGGGAGTTCGCCAGGCAGCTGCTTGACGCAAAAAACCCATTTGCCACGGACAATGTTGACTCCTCGCGGAGGAGAGACGTCCGTGAAAGAGTTGTTACGAATGAATGCTTCACACTCTGCGATCATGGCTGCAAGCCACTGAGGGGAGTGTGGTCCAGAGATGGCTTCATCGTACGAGTTCGGGGTCGGGATGGATGGATTTTCTGAGAAGTTAAGAGTTGGATTGTCGGCAAAAGTGGGGAAGAAATAGCAGAGCTGACGAATGGCAGCATTCATCTCAATCAGCTCCTCATGCCTATCCTCCAAGAGGCCAGGCATGGATGCACCCCCGGCAGGAGGAGGCGGATTGAGGGAGATGCAAATAGAGAGGGCGAGAGGCAGAGCGGGACCATGAGAGCGGGTGGGGTGAGCAATAGGGATAGGAGAGGAGGGAGGTGGCGGGGGAGGAGGTGGAACGTCGACATAAAAGCGTCCGTGGCGGTGGCGACGATAGGTGACGAGCGAATCGGGAGACGAGATGGAGGTTGGAGGCAGAAGCGGAGGTGAAGGCGGGGATGGAGGTGCGGGGGTAGGGGGAGGCGCAGAAGGAGAGGGAGGTGGAGGGGCAGCTGAGCCAGTGGGGGAAGAGGGGTGAGAGAGAGTGGAAGGAGATGGGGGAGGCGAGAGTGAGGGGGCCGCAAGAGGAGCGGCAGAGGGAGGAGGTGAAAAGGGTGAAGTATCGAAATCGGCCCACACAAGTGAAGGTGGAGCGGTGGTGGGTGGTGAGGAGAGGTAAAAAGAGCGACTCTCGTCAAATGCGACATCGCGGCTGCGAATGAGCTGATCGGTGGAGGGATTGAGAAAAAGGTAGTCGGGCTAGTTTAGGTTGTGGCCGAGGTAGACACATGGTCGATTTTTTGGTGCAAATTTGTCGCCATGGGTGTGACGTTCCTGATGGTTGAGGAGGACATAAGCGGTACACCCCCATACGCGGAGAGGACGTGCACTGGGCTTGGTGCCGGTCCACAGTTCGGCGGGAGTGATGTCAGGCCGAAGCGGGTGAGGGTAAAGGTTGTACATTAGCGTGGCATGGAGGAGGGCGTAACTCCAAAGGGAAGGTGGTGCACTGGCGTGAGTGAGGAGACAGCGAGCGATTTGCACGAGGGTGCGATTGCGACTTTCGGCAATGCCATTCTGCTGCGGACTGTGGGGAAGGGTGAAGGTCTGGAGAATGCCTTGGGAGGCACAAAACGCTTGAGGGGAATGATTTCGAAATTCGCCACCGCCATCGGAATGAAGGCACTTGACTGATGTGCGGAAATGGTTTTGGGCTTGTCGAACGCATGCGATGACGACATCTGGAACAACTGCTTTGGAGGAGAGTAGGTGGACGGACGCATAGTAGGAATGATCATCAACAAGCACTAGGAAGTAAGGGTGCCCGCCACGAGAGCGTGCTGGAGCCGGGCCCCAGACGTCCATGTGGACGAGGTCAAGTGGGGCGGCTGCAGCAGAGGGCGAGGAAGGGTGAGGCAGCGGGCGCAGTGCTTTGCGCGCAGTTTAAGCATGGAGGAGCAGGAGAAGTGGAGGGTGGAGGAAGTGTCTCGGGCAGGTGAAGAAGCAACTTCTTGGACGCAAGCTCGAAAAGCATGCGGAAGTTGGGATGCCCAAGACGATGGTGGAAATGAATGGTTGGGTCGATGAGCTGACGGCAGGAGCACGATCATGTGGTGGAGGTAGAGTGTGCTTCAGTGGGAGATGGAGGTACTTGGAGTGTGTAGAGGTTGTTAGCGATCAGTGTGAAGCGTGCAAGGAGGGCATTGTTGGTGGGCTCAAGGAGATCACAGTGATTCGAATGAGCTGGGAATGTTAGTGGTTACCCCTGCTCGTTGAATCTCATGTTGTGCGAGTAGGTTGTGCCGAAGAGTGGGCACGCATATGCCAGTGACTGTGCCTGATGGAGGACTATGTGGGTTGCGCCACTATCCAGGACGAATTCAAGTGGTTTAGATGGTGTTTGTGGAGACGCCGAGTACTGGGAACTGGTTTCATTGATCATGGGAAGGCCAGGAAACAACAGGTTGAGACGAACATCAGGACTAGGGGCATAAACGGCTGAGTCCTGACTATCCTGTGCCTCAGCATGGTTGAGCTGGCGCATGCGAAGCCAGTTGGGCGGCTTGGAGTTGATACCATTCTTGGCGAACCAGTCGTCGTCCTTCTTGCTGCTGGGAAGATAATGCCGAGTTGCTTCAGCTCCTGATGAATCCCTTGAATCTCATCAACGTAATCTGCCATTCTAGGGCACTCCTCCAAACGCACTTGAAACATGCGGGGGATGAGGATCCCCACCCCCACAGCGGTTTTGTTGAGGAAGCGGTCGTTGAGATACTCCCAAATGGCGTGTGCGGAGGGGTAGCTATGGTAAGTTTCAACGTACTCGGAAGGGGTAGTGCCGCGATTGAGGAGGACATCCTTGAGGCAAATGCCCTCAATCTTGCAGCTTAAGAGATGCTTATCAACCCCATAACTCCACTCCTTGAAGTTAGGGCTTGAGCCATTGGGGTCGAGGCGCAAGGGAGTGATCGGGTTCGAGAGAGACGCGAAAGGGTACGCCATGATGCTCCAAGGACCCTTTCTCTGCGCATAGCGCAGCTCTTAAGTCGCCGATAGGCAACTGCGTGCAGCATGGGCTCCGGGAAAAACGAGATTTTCCATTGTGGATTTTCAACACTCGGAGAGCAAGAATGGCGGATTCAGAAGAAAATCTGATCGCCGGAAAATCGATACGAAATGCTGCTGCAATCCCGCTACTCCACGACCCCCCCCCCTTTCCGCTTCGCCGCTGCCCCCTTTCCACTTCGCCGCTGCACACCCCCCCCCCCGCTGTTGTGGGGCGGCAGCCCGTTCAACTTCGACGAGCAGATGCGGGGCGACGGGCTCAGCCCGATCAGGTGCGACGAGCAGATGCGGGGCGACGGGCTCAGCCTGATCAGGTGCGACGAGCAGATGCGGGGCGACCGGCTCAGCCCGAAGTGAAGCGCCGAGCAGATGCGGGGCGACGGGCGGAAATCCGGTGCTAAGAGCCGGGAAGTGCGAGCGCTAGATCTGAGAAAGAAAAACAGAATGTACTTAAGACCGTGATGTCTTAGTACGAAGAGAGGTTGTGCGAACTAGAGCGCACAAGCGATGCTCCGGCGGATCGAGAGGATCATGAGCCGCGTGGGCGGGAAAGGAGCTCTGGTACCATGTCAGAAACTGAAAACTTCATTGATAAATGAGCAAGAGCATACATCCTTAAGTACCGAGCATCGGAGAGGATGGGGAGGGATAAGGGAGAATTGGAGGGAATCCCAAGGGAATCCTCCCAATTCGGAGGATTTGGGATGGATTGGGTTGGGATAGGTTGGGGATGAAAACAAAGCTTCACCCAACCTAACAAATATGCCTAACCCTAAAACCAACAAATTCCTAACACACGAAGTTGTGCCAACCAAATTGCAGCCTATCTCCAACATTCTTCACCCATTAGAAATACACTGTTTCCTTCACGCGCTAGAAATACACTGTTTTCTTCGCCCATTAGAAATACACTGTTTTCTTCACCCACTAGAAATACATTTTTTTCTTCACCCATTAGAAATACACTGTTTTCTTCACCCATTAGAAATATACTGTTTTCTTCACCCATTAGAAATACAGTGTTTTTTTCACCCATTAGAAATACACGGTTTTCTTCACCCACTAGAAATACACTGTTTTCTTCACCCATTAGAAATACACTGCTTTCTTCACCTATTAGAAATACACTGTTTTCTTCATCCATTAGAAATACACTGCTTTCTTCACCCATTTGAAATACACTGTTTTCTTCACCCATTAGAAATACACTGTTTTCTTCACCCATTAGAAATACACTGTTTTCTTCACCCATTAGAAATACACTGTTTTCTTCACCCATTAGAAATACACGGTTTTCTTCACCCATTAGGAATACACTGTGTCTCGCCCCTTGGCCCGTTAGATGTACACTTTTTCCTTCTCCTCCAAGTCTGTTGTCAGCGCGCTAGCATCCCTCCTTTCAGCCGTTCACACGTGTCTCCTGTATAGGTCCAAACAGCAATATCAGTCCGCTGTTGTATCCCAAAACGCAATATGTCCAGTAGCACTGCTGCCCTTGCTCAAGCGAACTACTTAGCACTGCTGCCCTTGCTCAAGCGAACTACTTAGCACTGCTGCCCTTGCTCAAGCGAACTACTTAGCACTGCTGCCCTTCCTACCATGAGTGACGGAAACAGCAATATCAGTCCGCTGTTGTATCCCAAGACGCAATATGTCCAGTAGCACTGCTGCCCTTGCTCAAGCGAACTACTTAGCACTGCTGCCCTTGCTCAAGCGAACTACTTAGCGCTGCTGCCCTTCCTACCATGAGTGACGGAAACAGCAATATCAGTGCGCTGTTGTATCCCAAAACTCTCTCAATCCCCTGTTTCAACTTTCCCCCCTCCCACCCGCCCTTCCCCCCCCCCTTACCCATCCCTCTTAACCCCCCTGTACCCCCCTCTTCTTCTGCCACCTTATCCCCTCTTCTCCCCCTGTCCCCTCTCCCCCCTCTTCTCCCCCCTCCTCCCCCCTCCTCCTCCTCCTTCATACCCACGCTCGCTGCCAGTAACGTGAACAGCAACCGTTTTGCTGGCAAACTCCCTCCCTCACTCGCTGCTCTTACCAACCTTCAGTTTCTGTAAGAAGGATGATCCGGCACTCACCAAGGCTTATAAAACCGTTACCCAATCGTGTTTTGAGGCGTCTCAAAACCCGATTATCAATGCACCGCTTTGCAATCAGCTCTCAAGTCTCGGGTGGAGGAGCTCTAGAAAGAACCCTTGCGAATTTTTTCTGCCCCTCCCTTCTGTCTACCCAGCTCTTGCCCTGCCTACCGAGATTCCTCTCAAACATTTCCTGATTCCCTCTTTTGCTTCTTCGGTTCCATTTACTTCCCACCCTCGTTCCTTGTCCCATTCCTTCTCCCCCTCTCAACACCTTCCCTCCCTCCCCTGCAGCAACGTCAGTGGCCAGAGCCTCCAGTGTCCCCTCCTACCACCACCGCCACCACTGGCAGCGCCAGCAGCAATAACGCCAGCAGCAACAATGGCAGCAGAAATACCGCCAGCAGCACCGTTGCGTGCAGCCGCAGGGAGTGTGAGCACAGCAGCAGGGCCAGGGGTCCCCGCTGTGTCTCTCGCTGTACCGCTTCCATGTGGGCCGGTGGTCAGCCGGGTGGAGAACATGCTCAGCGCCTTCTGCCTGCAGTGCCCTGCCTTCTGCTCCGCCTGCATCGGTGCCCGAGGTAGGGAGGGCAGATGTAGCACTCGCCCACAAGTTTTGAGGCGTTAACTGGATTATTGTCGCACAACAGCAGGGCCAGGGGTCCCCGCTGCGTCTTTCCCCGAACCGTTTCCGTGTGGGCCTGTGGTCAGCCGGTTGGGGAACGCTCCGTGTGTAATGAGTCGACTAAAAAATCGACTCATTACACACGGTTGGGGAACGCTCTATGCGCCTTCTGCCTGCAGTGCTTCGCCTTCTGCTCTGCATGCATCAGTGCTCGAGGTAAGGAGGACAGATGTAGCGCACACAAAACTAGACTACTATGACACAGCAGCAGGGCAAGCCTGCAGTGCTTCGCCTTCTGCTCTGCATGCATCAGTGCTCGAGGTAAGGAGGACAGATGTAGCGCACACAAAACTAGACTACTATGACACAGCAGCAGGGCAAGCCTGCAGTGCTTCGCCTTCTGCTCTGCATGCATCAGTGCTCGAGGTAAGGAGGACAGATGTAGCGCACACAAAACTAGACTACTATGACACAGCAGCAGGGCAAGCCTTCAGTGCTTCGCCTTCTGCTCCGCCTGCATCCATGCTCGAGGCAAGGAGGGTGCAGCACTCGCACACAGGCCTCTCCGTAATAACGCCATAACCTCAACGGAGGTAAAATGCCTTTGGTTTTGTGTCGTGTGTATGAGCGCATTTTGAACGTCTCTTCATCTGTGCTTTGCTGGACTACAGACATACATGTGAAATGCATGTTCACCGTGCCGTGTGTTTGAATGGACTTTAACTATACTACTTTATACTGTTTCCCGGCATGAGATCATGTCTGTCTGTTCCTGCTCTTGATACCCACATCCATGTCCTATCACACTGTTGTGCCCCTACACTCCACGACCTGGTACCCCTAGCCTTCCACCCGTCTGTTTTTAGTCACTGAAAAAGTACTTGTTTCTGCAGCACTAATATCTTACCTACATCCATGACCCATGTCCTATCACACTGTTGCGCCCCTACACAACTCCAGGACCTGGTTCCCCTGGCCTTCCACCCGTTTCATCTGCGGGCCCACCATTTTCATCTGCCGGCTCACCAGCACCAGCACCATCACTTTCAGCAGCACGATCAACACCATCACCAGCACCAGCATCAGCAACAGAAATCTCAGCAGCACCATCAAAATCACCACCAGCATCAGCACCAGCACCAGCACCAGCAGCAGCACCAGCAGCAGCAGCAGCAGCAGCAGCAGCAGCAGCAGCAGCGTCACCAGCAGCAGCAGCAGCACCAACAAGTCCCTCTCCTGTCTTCTCCCCTTCTTTCCCATCCCTCCCCCCTCCTTCCTCACTCCCCCTACCGCCTCCGCCAACTCTTCAGCCACTTCCTCCTTCTCCTCTCTCTCCTTCCCCCCTCCCTCTCCTCACTCCTCCTCTCCCTCCCCTCTCTCCTCCTCCTCTCCCTCCTCTCTCTCCCCCCCCTCCATCCTCCCCTAATGGCGTTTCAACGGGTGTCCTCGTAGGGGTTGCGGTGGTCTCACTTTGTGCTGTCGTGGCTGTTGGTGCGGTTGCGCTTTGCCTGTGGAAGCGGCACTGGAGGCAAGGCAGCTCATCACATGCCAAGTGTAAGAGGCCCCTGGGATTGATTCGAGCTTCCTTGTTAAAGAGACAAGAGTCTGGATCGAATGTGATCTAAAGTCAGGAAGTCGGAATGAGATGCATGTTTAAGCTGTAACATGGTGACTTTTGAGTCGACTCAAAAGTCACCTCGCTGTAACACAGTACTCATGACGCATTGTGATGCAGCGTGCTCTTCTAACTCATAGCAATTCCAGGGAAGCGTATTTTGGAGCAACTCTTGCTCTCCCTCTTGGTTCTCTTGCATGTTCTCATCTCGTCCTCGTCACAAGCATTCGAGCCCCAACCCAAATCCCCTTCTTCTCTTCACTCCCATTTTCCAGCGCCCACCCTCCCTTCAGCATCGTCCAAACACAGCGTGCCACCTGGCATTTGCCAGCAGTACCCCCTCTCTGCCGTCCTCCAGGCCACCGACAGCTGGGCGCCGTGCAACCTGATTGGCTCCGGCGGATTTGCTGACGTGTACAGGGGCGTGTCTCCCTTTGACCCCCATGAGCTATGGGCTGTGAAGCGAGGGAAAGTGTTTTCAGATGACTTTCAGAGGGAGGTGAGAGAGGGGGGAGGAGGGGGGTTTGAGAGAGGGGGAGGTGAGAGAAGGGGGAGATGAGAGAAGGGGAGGATGAGTGTGTGGCGCACGAAAGGAGTCCAGAAGTGCAGAGGGCGAAAGGGGAGTGGGAAGGAGGCACTGAGTTTCTGCAGGGGGCGTGTATCCGTTCGACCCCCATGAGCAATGCGCTATGGGCAGTGAGGCGGGGCAAAGCAAGCGGGCAGTGAGTCAGGGAAAAGTGGGCAGTGAGTCAGGGCAAAGTGGGCAGTGAGTCAGGGCAAAGTGGGCAGTGAGTCAGGGCAAAGTGGTGTCGGATAACCTTCAGAGAGAGACAGATGAGTGTAAATGTGGGGAGACGGAAAGAGGGGAGGGGGGGGGGGGATGAGATTACGAATGAGAAGAACGAGTTCGTTGCATTATGGTTGAGCTGTGGGTCGTGAAGCAAGGCAAAGTGGGTGGCAACCAATCAGGCGATTTTTACCGCTCCCTCACTCCTACTGTCGACCCCTGATCACGTGGATGGCAACCAATCTGCTCCTCTTCCCCCCACCCACTCCCCATCGTCCCTCCTCTCCTCTCCCCTATTATATGTCGACAGCATGGCCAGCAAGCACCACCCGCACCTTGTGAAGCTCATTGGGTCGGTGGGAGGAAGGGGAGAGCTAATATGCCCCTCTTCCCCCCACTCTCTCTCCATTGTTCCCCCTATCCTCTCCCCCCCTTGTAGGTCGATGGCATGGCCAGCAAGCACCACCCGCACCTCGTGAAGCTCATCGGGTTCTGCATGGAGGAGCGGCGGGAGCAGGGGGGCACGAATCTGCTGCGTCTTATCGCCTCTCTTTTCGCACACAACGGCAGCAGGAGCAGTGGGAGCGGTGTGAGCGGTGGGAGCGGTGGGGGCCGGGGGGGCAGCACGCAGGGAATGGGGTGCAGTAGCCGGGGTGCAGTGGAGCAGGTGTTGATCTATGAGCTCATGGAGGGGGGCGACCTTGACAGCGTGATCCAGGGGCGAGGTGGGTGATTGTAGCAAGGTATCATGTTCCTGTAGTCATGGGAAGGGCTGTAGTAGTACCCACCCAGCCAGGGCGCAGTGGAGCAGGTATCACGTCTCGAAACACGTTTCGCTTCATGCCGCTATCTTTTCTGTATCAAAGCCCCTCCCTCTCATACTCCTCCCTACCTCCCCACCTCCTTCCGTTGACCCTACTCAATGCTCCTATTACCAGCCCACCCCCTCCTCTCCCTGCACCAAGTGCTGGGCATTTAATTAAGGGGGGGGGGGCACATAGGTTTGAAGCATTTGCACAGCTTTGGGGTCAACCCTGTCTCCTATTCCTGCCACCCTCCTGCTACTTTTCCCCACCTCCAGGCTGCCCCCTCTCTCCCTGTAGCAGTGCCTGGCCATTCTGATTGCAGGGGCACGCGGATTGGAGTATCTGCACAGCCTTGGCATCAATAATCCTCTCCTGCTCTCCCCCTCCCCTACTTCCGCTCGCCCCACAATCCTCCCTCGTCCCCACGCCCAGGCTCCTCGTCCCTCTCCCTGCGGCAGCGCCTGGACATTCTGATTGGAGTGGCACGTGGATTGGAGTATCTGCACAGCTTTGGAATTGTGCATCGCGACGTCAAGCCAGCCAACATATTGCTGGATGGGAACATGCAGGTGTGTGTGTGTGTGCGTGCGTGCGTGCATGCGCGCGTATGTGCGTGCATGCATTTGTGCGTATGTGTGTATGTGTGTGCGTGCGTGCGTGCGTTTGTGGGTATGTGTGTATGTGAGTGCATGCGTGCGTGCGTTTGTGTGGATGTGTGTATGTGTGTGCGTGCGTTTGTGCGTATGTGTGTATGTGTGTGCATGCGTTTGTGCGTATGTGTGTATGTGCGTGCATGCGTGCGTTTGTACGGATATGTGTATGTGCGTGCGTGCGTGCGTGCGTTTGTGCGTATGTGTGTGCGCCTTCTCCTTCCTCCTAACCACCCCTAGTCATAATTAACCACCAACTCGAACCATGCAACCTTCTATAGAACCTTTAACAAGGAGACTCTCTCAACCTCTAACGTGCACCAACAGGGTGTTTCCGAACCATCCATTGCTCTACACTTCAATAGAACCAGCTACCATTGTACCGTACACCTAAGTGGAGAAATACGCGTCCAGCGTATTATACGCAAGCGTATTATACGCTAGCGTATATACGCTGTACGCTTCATTATGGGATTGGATACGCTAGGAAATACGCTCTGGCGGGCAGGTATAAAAACAACTCGGGCAGGGGTAAAAAAAGCCTGTTTGGGGAGGGAAGAGGGGGGGTTCAGAGCACCAAATTCCCCCCACCAAATGTGGCATCATTTAGCATGGTAATAAATAAATAGTTCAAGCCACCAAGGGCATGTCAAGGGTTCCAAACTCCAACAACCAGCCAACCACCCATCTCAGGTAAGCCTCCCCCAAACCGCCCGCCTAACCCTCTCCTGCTCTGCTCTACAGGTACTCATCCAGCAGCTCCTCATCTTCGCCCTCCTCATCCTCCTCCTCCCGATCCACCCTGTACCCCGCAGGGACGGGGGCGTCCGGGATGTTACCGGACACCACCCCCGCCCCCTCGTCGGCCATGTGCCAGTTGTGCACAACCTTCCAGTTGTGCGCAACGTAAACCAGATCCTTGCACTTTTCTGAACCCAGCCGGTTGCGTCGGGCGGTGTGGACAGTATCCCACACCGCCCAGTTGCGCTCGCAGCTGGATGCAGACACCGGCTGAGTTAGCACTCGGCAAGCAAGGGCCATGAGCAAGGGGTGGTCAGTGCCGTGCCACTCCCACCACGCCTCCATGGAATAACTTCCTTCCTTCACCAACTTCCGGTCACTGATGGCCTCAGCCGTGCCGAAGCTGCCCCTCAACTTCAGAAAGGCGGCCAACCCTTCCTGCAGGAGGAGTGTGGCACGCTTGGGCAGGCCATCCCTCTGGGGAATTATCACCCCGCCATAGTGGCGGGCAATGAAAGCTTTGAACACATTGGTGCACTCCGTGTCCGGCCCAAAAATCCGCTCCTCCTGGTTGACCGGGTTAAGAATCCGCCCGACCACGTGCAGTGGGCAAGCCATACTCTCATCCCAACGCCGCTTCACAATCTCATTGACGCCCTTCTTGTCTCCCGCACTCAGCACCCCATCCCCCTCCTCCTTCAGCAGTTCTGCCACATTCACAGTGAGCTCAAGCATCAGCTCATAGATGCGGCCCATCATCCCTTTCGTTGCCGAATCCGTCGCCCTCATGGCCTTGAACGGGAGCAGGAGCAGCCTCTTGAAGAGCTCAGCCGCTGGCCACCAGTCCTTATCCATGATCTGGTCGTGGAATGTCTCTGCAGCTGCCTTCTTTGGGCCCACCGCCCACTCCGCCTTCCATGCATCGCAGAGCACCATGGTCACCAGCGTTGACCGCAACTCCACCAGGCGGGACACAGCAATGTGCTGCGTCCCAAACCTGGTCCCCGCCGGCCTCAGCATCTGCAGCCCCTTCCCTCCGTCCACACCCCTGAGATACTGTCGGGTCCAATGGTGGCTGCGGGTGTAGTTGATGAGCTCGCTCGCCCGCCCCACTACCTCCTTGGCCCAAGCCTGCCGTCCCACATCCTCCATAAGGAGGTCGAGCACGTGCGTCGCACACGGCACATGCTCGATGCGCGGATTCTCTGCAATGAGGAGCCGGCAGGCGCTGTGGTAGTTGCTGCCGCCATCGGTGCAGAATGCCACGATGTTCTCGACCCCAACCTTTTGCAGGATGGGCCGGAGGAGCCGGGCGATGTATCCCCCGGTCTTTTTCTCCATCTTGTAGTCAATACTCTCGACGAACACTGCGCCGGTGTCATTGACCAGCATCACATTCGCCTGCGGCCTGCCACACTTGTCGGTCATCATGTCGCTGGCAATCGTCACGCCGTGGCGCTTCCAGCTCGACATGACGCCGTTCAATCCCTCGTCAATCCGCTTGCGGCATAACTGCAAGCCGGCACCACCCACGTAGTCGCGCTTTGGAGGCACATAGCTGGTCCCCGCGCGCGCGATGGACCGGACGGCGTTGCGCCAAAGCGGGTGGTCGGCATGGCGCTCGGGAAGGCGGAGGCCGGCAAAGAGGAGGCAAATAGCCTCGTCCGCCGCCGCCTTGGCCGCTTGGGCGTCATCGGACAGGTAATCGGTGATCTTCCGCTTTCCTCGACCACTAACGGCATCGAGGGCCGACTCCTCCGCCCTAAGCGCCTCCTCCCTCGCGAGCACTTTGGCGGTTTGGAATGCGCGGACGGCAGCCTGCTCCTCCTTCCCTATCTCCTCGCATTTCCGAACCTCGCGCCTACGCATACCATCCCAACTAGTGATGTGCTGTGCGCAGCGGTAGGCCGTCCCGGTAAAGGATACGGGGCAGTACTTGCACCAATACTTTTGCTGCTTGCCGTGCTCCTTATGCTTAAACTTGAAATGTTTAAAGATAGCGTGGGTGGAGTTCTCCAGGAGCTCGTCAGAGGAAGACGCAGCACAGGAGGTTCCCGCGTCGGTTCCGTGGGAACCAGGACTAGGTGAAGGGTTCGACATAGCAACAGTCGCTAAAAAACCAGCTAGCTAGTCGCGCTAGCTTGGAAGAAGAAATGACTGAAGTTAGCGCGCCAGTTTACTTGTACCCTGATTTCGTCGTAGGAGTGAACTGCGCTGAACCCTGCTGGAGTAGAGTAGAGAGGGAGAGGAAGGAGATTTCTTTGGGTGTTGTTTGGAAGTCGCAGATTGGGTGGGATGCTGTGTGGTTGGGAGGGGCGAAGGGGTTGGGTTGACGATTTGAAAAGCCAAATTTCGGTTTGCGACATGGCGAAATCCCTGTGGGGTTTCGTCATGTCGCAAATTTGTCGCATCGTTTTTTGCGTATTTCTTGCCGGGCTGCCCGCCAAGAAATACGCTAGCGTATTGCGTACTTAGCTAGCGTACAGCGTATTCGTATTATACGCTAGCGTATGTACGCAATACGCTAGGCTGCCCAAGCGTATTTCTCCACTTAGCCGTACACTGCTATCTCAACCCAACCCAACCCCCACCCCTTCACTGCACCCTCCACCCCCCACTCCCCCTTCCCATTCTCCTCCCCCTTCCTATTCTCCTCCCCCCTCCCATTCTCCTCCCCCTTCCCATTCTCCTCCCCCTTCCCATTCTCCTCCCCCTTCCCATTCTCCTCCCCCTTCCCATTCTCCTCCCCCTTCCCATTCTCCTCCCCCTTCCCATTCTCCTCCCCCTTCCCATTCTCCTCCCCCTTCCCATTCTCCTCCCCCTTCCCATTCTCCTCCCCCTTCCCATTCTCCTCCTCCTTCCCATTCTCCTCCCCCTTCCCATTCTCCTCCCCCTTCCCATTCTCCTCCCCCTTCCCATTCTCCTCCCCCTTCCCATTCTCCTCCCCCTTCCCATTCTCCTCCCCCTTCCCATTCTCCTCCCCCTTCCCATTCTCCTCCCCCTTCCCATTCTCCTCCCCCTTCCCATTCTCCTCCCCCTTCCCATTCTCCTCCCCCTTCCCATTCTCCTCCCCCTTCCCATTCTCCTCCCCCTTCCCATTCTCCTCCCCCTTCCCATTCTCCTCCCCCTTCCCATTCTCCTCCTCATCCTCTTTCCTCCTTTCCCTCCCTCAGGCCAAGCTTGCTGATTTCGGCATGATGCGGTCAAACCTCACCCCAGACCAGCAGCAGCATCTTATCGACACAGCAAGCAGCAATGTGACCGCAGTTACAAGCACCAGCAGCAGCATCAGCAGTGCTACGAGTGACGCATGGGAGTCGACTCGTGTTGTGGGGACACCGGGCTTCGTGGACCCGGCCTATTTTGAGTCTCACAAGGCCACTCCCATGGCTGACATGCACAGGTGAGGGGATGCAATGTTGTGCTGCAGGATAGTTGTCTCGTTTCGAGGCGCCTCAAAAGCATACCTCTTTCCTTGCGCAGACATGCACAGGAGAGGGGGTCCAATCTTGTGTTACTGCGAGTCTCGTTTTCCCCCAGTTGTATAATGCGAGCGGCCAAAATGAGCGTTCCTAGACTCGTGAGTCGTGATCACTCCTCGAGAGGAATTTGAGGCGCCTAAAACGTGAGCACTCCTCGAGAGTTGCTTTCTTCTTACCTTGGTGCTCAAAACGGTTATTCCTAGACTCGTGAGCACTCCTCGCTTTTCTCGTGGGTATTTTTAAGTCATGCTCTTATGGGCTCCCTTGTACCTTAGTGCGCTCGTGTGCACGCATTTTCTTGCAGCTTTGGAGTGGTGATGCTGGTGCTGCTAACGGGCCGCAAGGCAGTGATACCGGTGGGCAGCAGTAACAGCTTCGGACCTGTGGAGCACGTCAACATCAAGTGCTGGGTGGGTACTCTTTTCCTCACAGCTTGTTTCATCAAAGGCGTGTGGGCCACGCCACCAGTAAACACTGAGTGGCTAAACATTTCTTGCTACGATCCACACCCTACTCGCAAGGCAGTGATACCGGTGCACAGGAGTGATGGCTTCAGGTGGAGCACGTCAACATTTAACACTGGGTGGGTAAACCTTTCAAGAGGCACCACGTTGTTTTGAGTCAACTAAATAAGCAGGCTCTTCTTGAGGCGCCTCCCAGGTTGTTTCATCAAAGGCGTGTGGAGCGTGTAAACACCAGGCACCGGGTGGGTGGACTTTTCCTCCCAGCTTGTTTCATTGAAGGCGTGTGGAGCATGCCAACATCAGGCTCTGGTTGGGTCAACCTTTCTTGCACATGTAGCACATGTAAGCCGTTCCTTCAGTCCTAAATGTCTTGCATTGTAAAATCAGCTGGAATCACTAACCATATCATTTACCTGCAGCACTCCGATTTCACATCATTGCACTTGTCATTATGTCAGGTGTCTAATGCCCTGCAACATCAAGGCTCCACCAAGTGGATGGATCCCAGCCTACACGCACCAGCGACCATGGTAAAACCCCTGCTGCAGCTGGCCCTCTCTTGCACATCCATGCCCGCCTCTTCCCGACCCGCTATAAGCAAAGTGCTACAGGAGCTGATAGCTGTTCGAGAAGATGTTATCAGGGCAATGACTCGTCGAAGTAAGCATGTTAGTGAGGCCTCGGCGCTTGTTAACCCGCTTGGTGTGATCCGCGAGGACGTATAGAGTGAGATAAAGGGTAATGCTGCCTTCAGAGCTGCATGTGGGCCGAGTGGGGTAGGAGAAACATGTACGAGGGGAGAGCAGGAGGGGGATAGAGGGCACGGAATGGATGGATTCATTTTGAAAGGAAAGGTAGGGATGCAGCAGTTAAGAAATACTAAGTTTAGTGGAGTTCCAAAACCCCCAGAAAGACTTGAGAAATAAAATAAGAACTTAAATTGTGCTGCACTCGGCTATTCTCCCCCCACAAGCAGTCAAACTCACTCACGGAGCACTGCTAGTGCAGCCGCTTCCCCCTCTTGCAAGCTGCTTTCGAAGCTGCTGCTGCCCACCACGCCTCTGCTGCTTCCAACCCCCCCAGTCAAGCTTCTGCCACCAAGCCCTCCTCCCGAGCCCTCCTCCCAAACCGCCTCTTCCCAAAACCCCTCCAAAAGACCCTCCCCTAGGAGCCGCAGGACCCTCCCCTCCTAGGGGTACCCCTTCCTCCCAACCCCCTTACCGAGGAGTCAGCTTGGGGGACCACACAGGTCCGGCAGAAAGAGGGGCAGACGGCTTTGCAGAAGTAGTTGGGGTAGGAGCGGGCGGCCAGCTTCTTTAGTTGCCAGGAGCAGTTGGTGCTGTCTGGGGGGCATGTGAGCGTGCTGTCAACATAGCTGCGAGGGGAGGGGGTGGAAGAAAGGGGGTTGGGGAAAAGGGGGGAATGGAAGGAGGGAGTTGGGGATTGAGAGGGGGGTATCAAACGTGTGTATCTCATATACTTTGCATAGACTGTATAGGGTCATCTCTTAGAGGGTACAACACTTAGATATATTCCTGTACTCTCTCACTCTCTAATCATTCATTCAGTTTCTAAGATGGTATCAGCAGTAGGTAGGTCCCTCTCACCCACGCTTCCGCTCTAGGACCTACCCGCCCTAGTCGCGCCCGCCCTAGCCGCGCCCGCCCTAGCCGCGCCCGCCCTAGTCGCGCCCGCCCTAGCCGCGCCCGCCCTAGTCGCGCCCTGCGCGCCACCTCCCCTCGGCCCTAGCGCCCGTCCTAGCGGCCCCGTCGCCCGTGCCCGCCTTAGCGCCCGTCCTAGCCGGCCTAGCGCCCCTCCCTAGCGGCCCCTCGTGCCCGTCCTAGCGCCCGCCCTAGTGGCCCCTCGTACCCGCCCTAGCGCCCGCCCTAGCGGCCCCCACGCTCGCCCTAGCGGCCCCTCGTTCGTGCCCGCCCTAACGCCCGCCCTCGCGGCCCCCGCGCTTGCCCTAGCGGCCCCTCGTGACGGCCCCAGCGCCTGCCCTAGCGGCCCCCGTGCTACCCTAGGGGCCCCTGCCCTCGTCCTCATCGGCCCCTGCGCCCGTCCCAGCCGGCCCCACGGCCGCCCTCGCGACCTCCGCGCCCTGCCCGCTCGGCCCCTGCGCCCGTCTCAGCCGGCCCCGCGCCCGTCCCAGCCGACCCCCGCGCCCTGCCCGCTCGGTCCCTGCGCCTGTCCCAGCCGGCCCCCGCCTGTCCTAGCCGGCCTCGCGCCCGTCCCAGCCGACCCGCGCCCGTCCCAGCCGGCCCCTGCGCGTCCCAGCCGGCCCGCGACCGTCCCAGCCGGCCCCGCGCCCGTCCCAGCCGGCCCTGCGCCCGCCCCGTCGGCCCCGCGGCCGTCCTGCCTCGAGCTGAGTGCGGCCCGCCCGTCGTGCCTCCTCCGGCCCTGCACTCTCCCTGGTACGGTTCCCCCCTCACCTGCACCGCACGGTACCACACTGCACCGCACTGCACAGCCCTGCACCGCACTGCACGGTACCGCATTGCATTGCACTGCCTTGCCTGGCACCGCCCTGCACCGCGCTGCACCGCCTTGCACTGCACTGCCTTGCACCGCACTGTCCGGTCCTGCACTGCTCCTGATGGCGGCGGAGCTTCGCTTCGACGCTGAAGGCCAGCCTCTGGAGTTCGAGGCGTGGCTCGCCGACCTCCGTCGCCACCTCACTGGCCAGCGGCAGGATGGCCACCCACTTTCTGCACACCTTGACGGTATGCTCCCCTGCCCAGATCCCCCTGCTGTGCTGCCCGCTGACCCCACACCCGTTGAGCGCGAGTCCGCTGCAGCAGCTGCCCTTGCGCGCTCTGTCTGGCTTTCCCGAGACGCTGTCGCCCAGCTTGCCATTAGCAATGCCCTTCCCCCGTCTGAGCGCCCCCGCTTTAGGTCCATCACTACTGCCCAGGCTTACTTAGATGCTGTCCTCAAGCGCTTTTCCACCCCTCCTGCTGCCTCGGTGGGTCGCCTGATCCTCCCGCTGCTCTTTCCTGATCTTGCGTCCTTCCCCACTGTCGCTGACCTGGGTGCCCACCTGCGCACGCTAGATGAGACCTGGCGCGCTGCCTGCACTGACGCACAGCTTAGAGCCCACCAGCCGCCCATTACCTCTACCCTCTACCTGCTTGCCACCCGCCTCCCTGACCGCCTTGCCGCCGCCCGCGACCGCTTCCTTAGTATCCACCCCGGTGAGCTCACCCTCACCGACTTTGTAGACACCCTGACTGTTATAGAGACCCGCCACCGCTCCATCGCCCAGGCGAGCGGTACCGTTCCGGTCCCTATCTTTCAAGGTTGTGCCCCCGCTCAGTGTACCTTCTCTGACGGTTCTGCCGCTGTGGCTGAGACTGCTGCTGCCGTGCCGTTCCGTCCGGGGAAGGGCCGCCGCCCCAAGGCTGGGCGCGGAGGCGGGGGTGCAGGTGGGGGTGGTGGTGGAGTCGGGTCGTCTGGTGCTGGAGCGGACGAGGGGACCCTGCCCGGTCCAGCTGAGCAGCCGCCTCCACAGTCGCAGCAGCAGCCGCAGCCGTTGCAACAGCCGCCGCAGCCGCCGCAGACGAGGCAGGCGAGTGTCCTCCCGCCCGGGTGGCCTGGAGCTGGAGGTGGTCGTGCGCGTGGTGGTGTACCGGGTGGTGGTTCGGGAGGTGTGCGTTGCCAGTACCAGATCCAGACCGGTCCTCGCCGCGGCTTTGTTTGCGGTAAGACCAGTCATACCACTCCTCGCTGCTTTCGTCGCCTGGACGACCTGTTCCGTCAGCGCTTCGGCCCGTCGCCAGACCTCCCGGACTGGCACAGTTTGCTTAGTCGTAGAATTCCGATTTTTGACTTGGACATGGATGCTATTGTTTCTGCTCTGCATGTGATGTATGCTGATGACTCTAGTGTGCTTCCCGCTTATTACTCATTGTCGTCTAGTGTAGGTATGCCTAGCTTAGCCTCCCTTGCTCCGTCAGGCGTAGCAGCCCCTGTTTTGTTTAGCCTTGGTGCCTCCGCCGTCGCCCCGTCGCCGGACGCCACTGCTTCCCTTTCCTTCACCTTGGACTCTGGCGCTTCCCGGTGCTTCTTCCGCAACTTCACTGCACTGACGCCGCTTCCTGTTCCTGCCGCTGTTTCACTTGCTGACCCCTCCGGCGGTCCGGTAGTCGCCCGCAGTTCCACCTCCCTTCCCTGTCCGGCAGTTCCTTCGGGCTCTCTCACAGGTCTGCATATCCCCTCGTTCTCCAGGAACCTAGTTGGTGTCGGCTGCCTCCAGGACCTTGGCGTCACCACTACGTTCCCTAGTCACGAACGGTATGCTGTCTGTACTGAGGCTGCCACAGGTGCCCCTCTGTCCACGTTCCCCCGGGACCCGGTGTCCGGCCTGTTCACCCTGGACACCGTGACCCCCCCGGCTGGGGCGCCCCTCCAGGTGGCTGCGTCTTCCCAGGTTGCTGCTGCCTGCTCCTGTCGGTCTCTCACTCACCCGACTCTCCTTTGGCACCACCGTCTAGGTCACCCTGCGCTCCCGCGTCTGCGTTACATGTCCCAGCACGGTCTCGTCCTTGGTCGCCCTGGTTCCCTCCCCCCTTTTCCCTCCTCTCCCGCCCCGCCTTGCACTCCTTGTGTCGAGGGTCGGCTTCGCCGTACCCCCCACTCCTCCTCGTTTCCCCCTACCGCCGCGCCGCTGCAGACCCTGCACATGGACGTCTGGGGCCCCGCCCCCGTCCATGGGCCGCGTCGAGAGCGCTACTTCCTCGTCCTTGTCGACGACTTCACTCGCTATACCCAGTCTTTCCCCTGGAGCGGAAGGCCGACGTGCGTGACGCTCTCATCCCCTTGCTTGTCTCTGCGCGTGTCCACCAAGGCCTCCCTATCTTGCGCCTTCACTCAGACCGTGGTGACGAGTTTGCCTCACGTGTCCTTGGTCGTTTCTGTCGTGCGGAGGGCATCACCCAGACGTTCACCCTGCCGGACTCCCCACAGCAGAATGGGGTCGCTGAGCGACGCATTGGCTTGGTCATGGAGGTTGCTCGCACCTCCATGATCCATGCCGGTGCTCCCCATTTTCTGTGGCCGTTCGCCGTGCGCTACGCTGCTCACCAGCTTAACCTGTGGCCGCACCCCTAGCGGCCGCAGGTTTCGCCGACCCGTCTTTGGACCGGGTCTCCTGGTGACGCGTCTGCGTTCCACGTCTGGGGCTGCCTTGCTCACGTTCGTGCCTCCGGCACGGACAAGCTCACTGCCCGCACCCTTCCCTGTGTCTTCCTAGGTTTTCCCCTTGACGCGTCCGACTGGCACTTCTACCACCCGCCGTCTCACCGCTTCTTTCACTCTCGCGACGTCACCTTTGACGAGTCCGTCTCCTTCTTCCGTCGCTTCCCCCACCGCGGTCCCCCGGTTACCCCCCCCCTGTTTCTGGCCCCTCCTTCCCCTGTGGTCCGTGCCCCTCCCCCTCCCCCTCCTTGTCCGTCCCCCTCCGGTGTGTCCCACGTCACCCCGCTCCCGTCGGTTGTCCCGGTTGAGGAGTCTTCTGACTCTGGTGGTCCTGCGGCGCCGTCCTCGCCGTCTGCCCCTCCCCCGGCGTCTCCTCTTCCACCGCCTCTACAGCCGCCGCCGCCTCTGCAGCCGCCGTCGCCTCTGCTGTCGCCGCCGCCGTCGCAGCAACCGTTCGTTGCCCCTGGGGGTGTCGGCGTTGGAGTGGGCTCTAGCCCCGGTGGCCCTGGGGGTGGTGCCGGTGCTCGAGGAGTTTCGGGCCCTGAGGGTGTTCCTTCTGGGGGTGCTGGAGTGGAGTCTGTCGGTGGTAGCCGCGGAGCAGCTTGCGGTCCCGGTGTCGGCGTTGTACCACTGCGACTCTACGGCCTGCGGCAGGCTCCCCGTGAGTGGCACGACACGCTGCGTGCTACTCTTGCTGACCTTCAGTTCTTTCCGTCCTCGGCAGACCCCTCACTCTTCCTTCGTGCTGGCCAGACTCCGTTCTACATCCTTGTGTACGTGGACGATCTGGTTTTTGCCACAGCAGACAGGGACGCGCTGGCCTCAGTGAAGGCAGAGCTGCTGAAGAGACACACTTGCCTTGACCTTGGAGAGCTGCGCCGTTACCTTGGCCTGCAGATCTCCAGGGACAGAGCAGCGCGCACCATTACCCTGACTCAGTCACACTTGGTGCGCCAGGTCCTTCAGAGGTTCAGCCTTCAGTTCTCCTCTGCACAGCCCGCCCCGCTGCCTCTAGCC